CCTTCTTCAGGCTTCATGCAATCGTGACCACAGCCCAAGTCCAATGCCACGACGTTTCTTTTTTTCGAGCGGGGAGATGAGCGTCTCACTGCGTGATTGAACAGGGATCGACGAACGCCAAAAACTCTGGGCGCTACTGGCAATGCCTGTATCCTTTGTAGCCTGTACATGCGAGCTGGGGTCACATTGGAGGTCTCCTCGGACCCTCGTGCGGTGTGTCATTTTCTTCACACCCCAAGCTCTCTCTTGTCTTGTACCGCGTCAAGCTGCAGAATTGATCGAGGCAGCGTGGGGAGTTTGCGGCAAAAGCTGTGTGTCCGGGGCTCCATTAGAACCATTGCGTGCTGACCAGGATCTGAGCATGCAATTGTCGCTATCCCAATTCAGCTCCGCCAAAACTCCACCAACATTCGTGTCGTGTCCGTGGCAAGTTTACATCTCCTTGAGGCAATTCTCTCAGAGTTCGCATCATGCGAGGCTTCTGATGCTTTGTGAGTAATATCGAGCGAAATGAAAAAAGTCTGTGAATGTTATGCGACCTTACATTACCACGTTCAAAGTTCATGAAAAGAGAAAAATCCCTGTTAGATCTCGCGACGATATGGTCTCCGATTGCGCCATTCAATCTAAAGCCGTTAACGGTTTAGTACCGCTTTCTAAGCGGCAGACGTTATTCCCGTTGCGGAATAGTGGGGTTGAAGCTGTAAAAGCTTTGATCATAAAATGAGATCATCATTGGATTAGAAATGGTCAATGAACTTATCTCATCGAGACACGGAGGAAATCGAGCGTGAAAAATAATGTGCATTACCACATTTATTATTATGTAGTGTACAGAGTACTCCGTCCGGAGTATTGATATCCATTGCTTACAGTGGGTGAGGGCACTGATCAGGATCCTTCAGGGACCTTCGGGGAGTTGGTCAGGTAGCTCAGGTACCCCTGTCTCTGATGTTCCCTCGCCGTTACCGGCTGAGAGCTTTTTGTTCTATGCATGCTTCTTGTATCGGGGAGAACTTTGTTGGCCTCTCAAACTTGTCATGGCTGGATTGTGTCGTTTCAGTGCCCGTTTGTCCTTCAGATAAAGTAAATCATCGCCCTGGGTGAAGACTTTTTCGCTGTTCAATCTCTTCAATGGCCCAATATTCATCATGATGGCCTCATCGGCCCATACCCCAACTCCCCGTAACGCTTCGGCCCCACTCCCCTTTGCTACCGGTGCTAACGTCCCTGGCGTTACGGGACCATGAATAACCTTCATCAGACTGGATATCACATCGCGAATGCCGATATTGCTGCAGAAAAAAGCCCACAATGAAGCAACAAGTCTCTCATCTCCGAGCTTTATCATGAGGGTCCCTAGCCCTCCATGTAGTCCAGAAATGATTCTGGAGACTGGTGAGACTACTCCGTATTGCTCAACCACCACAACACCCATGCTCTGTGGCCGAGGGTTCAAGATGGGTCCATATTTCGGGGAGTCCAGTAGCAAGTGCACATCCATCCTCATTTATCTGTTCATCCATTCGTCAATTTTTCCCATCCCTGGTCCAGCGCCCAACCCTTGGTGTCTTTCGAAGTGAGTGCACCGAGACAACTTTAGTTTCCCAAGCCTGCGGTCGCGCGGTCACACATCAGGTCTAGACTCGAATAAACTACAGCTACTGTGAGTCAAAGAGGCTCTGGACTGACAGCTTGACCGTGACACACGTTGCCGATCTTCCGAGTCGTGTGTGAAGCTACCAGCGCTCGATCAATAGCTTCAACTTGTAAGTCGACACACTGGCATGGTGCAATATGGCAAGTCCGAAATCTTATCTGACGCCATAAGCCCTTCCATATTGCTCATATTAGTGCGTCGCATGTGTCTTTTCTCATTTCGAGGTAACGCGGATCTCCAATCTGGGCGATCATGGCCGCGTATTGGCTTGCTTCCTTCGTCGAAGGTACAACATGGGCCATCGTAGCACTCTCCACGTAATACTCTCGGGCCATCGCTGGGTCGTCGGTCGTTTCCCGCCTTTTTCTTACGAGATCGAAACAGATTTATCCCGCGGTCGCCGGCTGTGTCTGCTGTTTCAGCTCTAAGATGGTTCTTTTCGTCCCCCACTCGCGCAGGCACGCGAGCTGGGAGTAACCTCGTTGACAGCGTCCCCTTTTTCACTGCTGCATGTCTCATTGGATCCAACAAGAACCCATGTTCCGGGCCATCGGGGCTTGCCCGACGGTCCAGCTTGCATTTGGACGAATGGCAAGATCAAGAAGCCAATGTACAGCCAAGGCCTCACCTCCCGCTCGGGATCATAAGCCTTCCGGCTTGGTCCCCCACGAGAGGCGACGCCTCCGGGCACAAAATCCGCCAACCCATCCATATTGTCGCCTTGGCCATCTCGATAGTAATTTGCCTTGGCGAACGTGGTGTTTGAGCTAATGTAGATGGGGTTCGGGGGGTTGCTATTGTGAGGCTGCTGACGTCGGTCCTTCTGTTCCTTCGATGATCGAATTTGCCTATGCGTTGACGAATTTGCGACAGTTTCAGGGTGCTGCACATCTCATCTTGCGATCCAGGTCCCATGGCGAACATTTCCAGATCTTGCGCACCATCAGGTAAGCTTATCCAGCACTGCTTCTGCGTCCTAATCAATCTCGCCGCGGTAGGTGGGATGAACAACCCAGATCTACCCTTGTTGTGCAGTTGGATGGTGATGGTCTAGTGTCGGGGAGTGTGCATTTCGATCCGTCTTAGCTCGGTGTGTTTTTGAGCGAGGTAGGGTAGAATTCACCCTCGTTGTACACGGTACTCGATCCCCTGCCAAGCGACGCCCACGTCTTCCTCTAGCGCAGCCGTTGCTTCTCCCGGGAATGCATCCTCCAACCGGCGCCACCAAATGCACGCGAGCACATCCCGTTGTTCTGGGAGCTTGGCAACGCACTTAATCGGCAATACGGCACACAACCCTGCCAGCGACTGCAAGGTTATCAAGACATAGTAGAGCTTATACGTGGGATTTGCAGTTCCAACTCCAATTAGGACGTAATTCGGTTCGCTCGTGGCTGGTCGTGGGCTTGCGAGATTCGTTCTCTGATTGATTCGTCAAAGTTCCAATTGGGCACGACATTGTGAGCTGAACCTCTACCTGCCACTATTGGCTATCACCCGTGGAATCGGGACAGGTTGATGATCAAAGGTGGCAAGCCAGTAGACATCTCATCTCGATAGTCAATTGCGTCGAAAGCCACGGCGATGGTGAAAGACCGCCAGGCGAGTCTTTTCCATTTGTCGCGACAATGTTATTACATCAATAGATGACAGGTCGATGTGATCGTCAGCGTAAATATCGGTCGGCTACTGGAGGCACCGTAAGGTTACAAGGTATGGGGCAACTGATCAACAATCTGGACAATCTAGATGTTCCCATGTCAGCAGAGTTCATTATGCTTAATTGCGTCGACCCACATACCACGTCCCTAGTGACCTTCGATATTCGTCCATCCCGGTCATCTTGTCGTGCCTCGGAGTCGCGTGGAAGTGGTGTAGGTGCTGCTGTCGTGGGTCGACAGTCTCGTAATGTTGATACGAGGTTGGAGGAGGATTTTTCCCTCGCGCGGCTCAAGTCGCGTCCAAGTTCAGGACCATCATTTGTCCGTGACTTCAATTCGGGGAGTTCACGGGGAGTCGAGACTGCCGAGCCTCTCTCGGGGAGTTGGTGGTGATGGGTGGAGACTAGAGAATTCTTGATCTGGCCAAAGTGACTGGGCAACAGGAATTGAGACAACCGAATGGACAGCGCACCAAGTGTGGCAATTACACTTACGCCATCTAGGCCGTTCTAAAGTTAGAGACTCTTTGACTGATCGACGACATGTTGGTTGCGGGCTGGCTGGTGGCGATCTGGTTGACCATCGAGCCAGAGAGATAATTTGGGTGTCAGTACGGAGTAAGTTAGCCATTGATAGATTGGTCAGGACAGATCACAAGGCCGTTCCTAATCAGGTTACGTTGTCTCCTAAACGACTGGCGAGACTCTTGGTACCAACTTTTACGTCTCTGGGCTTTCTTTCCATCTTGTCTCGTCAAAAATGCTGCATCACCATTTTTCACGACAGTGGAATTTGCAATAACAACTTGAACCCAAACAACGTCGCGTCGATTGTGCATGAAAGCTGCAGAAACTCTGGAAGAGGTCAGACAAGTTATTAAGGATGTTAGAAAGCTATTTAGTTGTGGCATTTTCTTGGTATTGACCATGAGGTTCTGTCTGCCGGAATAAGCTCTCAGCCTCAAGTCTCAACTGTCATTGAGACTAGAGTCTGTAGGGTAGCTCACTTATACTAGCTGTGGGCTGTGAAGATATCGTCGTGTGGCATCAGTGTCCTTTTCCGATTTTACTCACTTTTCTTCTTTAATTTTTTTTTTAAAAAAAATAAGGCAGCTATCTACATGCTCCCTTACATTAACATTGCTGACCGGTATACAATAATAAACCTATCGAGGGATTATGTGAATCCTACGAGAGTTGACGATCAGCTTCAGCCCTATGTTTAGCCGAAGGTAGGTAGAATAAGATGCTCTCATCTGAACAGACTTTCAGTAACTGGGAAGATTATAGCTCTGACAAGTAGCAAGCCGAAGCAAAACATTACCCGGTTGGCTACCTTTCGATTCTCATGAGACACATATCATATGAGTCCAATGGTCTAAGTGACTAACTCATACCTCAAAATACCGACCACCCGAAATCGGAGGTAAAAAGGAAAACACGTCTCGATATTTGAGCTTTTATACTGAACGGAAGTACATGTTCGCGACTCTAAAGACAGGGAAGTGATACCAGTGACTCATTTTCTGGCCAAAAGGCGTCACCATTGCGATCTTTCCGATAACCGACATTTACCCATGTGTGAGAATGATTCATCCACGTATGTCGAACTATTTTTCTCGATGCCATTTCCCAATCTGCCGAGTCTTACACCATCTGAGGGACTTGAAAGTCATCAAAATGGCGGATTTTGTTAAGGTCTACACCGCGGTACCAGAGCAGCTCTTGGCTCTTTTGACTAATCAACTGCCCTACTCGCTACCCCTCCTTCGACGTCTTCAGTTTACCAAGTTTGAAAATGGCCTACGAGAGACAGCAAGAGTCATTCTGGCATCAGAATCTCAAATTGAGGAAGGGGTAGACTTTCCGAAAAGATTCACTGCGGCCTATATCGACGTCGGCGGTGGCCCTGACACGCAAATGTGGATATACTCGACCCTCGAGCATCCTGATGATGCCGACACTAACGACACGGCTATCTATGAACACCAGCTTCAAAAGATAATCGAGAAGAGTGTCGTGATAGCAAAAGATTATGGGCGTCCACTCGTCTATGGCGATGCTGTCTTGGTTGGAACATTGCACGACTCAGTCCGAGATCTACTCTCCAAGACAGGCCGAGTTCAGGCTCGTGAAACGGGGGCATATGACAAATGGCTCTTCAAGTACGAGGATCTACCAAAGGAAGAAATAGCTTTACCCGAGGGCATGCATTGGGGAACGGCAACAGACGATGACTGCCGAGTTGTCATCTCCCGAACCAATATCCCGAGAACAGTGTAAGCCTGATTTTAGCCGGCCGGAATACTGGCTGATACTCTATAGACAAGTCCTTAGACGCATGCCAAGCTTGGTAATCAAGCTTGATGACGGAACGCCTGTCTCCTGGGCTTTTCTGGGTAAGTTCCCTCGAGCCTAAATCATGCGGCTCAACTCTAATTGGACTTAGGGTTCGATGGCTCACTAATCAGCCTCCACTGCGAGGTACGTATCTTATGCCTTTAAGACACGACAAGAAGCTAATCATGCGTTAGGAACCGTTTCGTCGACGTGGTCTTGCCAAGACGCTTGCTGCGAAGTTGTTTCGTGAAAAGTCTCTTGACTTTGCTGATGACGGCTGGTGTTCTGCTGATGTGGCGCCAGACAATGATGGAAGTCGAGGAATGTGCAAGAGATTGAATGGAAACCCGACTTGGAGGGTTTCATGGTAAGTATTAGTGATATTTGTTATAGGATTTGTGAGCTGACAATCTCAGGGTGTTGCTGTTTGTCGGAGAGAAGCCGCCCAGTGAAACCAATGGTGCCAAGAACGCGTAAAATGCTCTGAGGATTCTTGACTGCGCAAAAGATTTCTCTGGACGAATGCTAGGTGCATGTGTCACAGGCTTAGTGCCCAGGAACTACACTTTGGTTGAAAACAGGCTCGAATAGACGGTGCAAAGAGACGATTGAGACAGAGTGCAGACAGAGAGAAGATAGAAAGAGGCCAGAAGCCCAATAAATTTTCGCATTCTGGCTGAATTAGTCATTCTGCCACCCTATGATGCATGCTACTGAATCGCCATTAACCTTGGACTGCACTCAGTCGTCTATGAGACGCATCGGTGATTGTAGGATGTACACAGGGTTCACTCGAGGAACTTTTCTGTAACAACGGATTATAGCGAAGACCCGCAATGGCATACAATATCAAGTGTTGATCTCGGATATTCAAGACGATCGATCCGTTATCTTGGTTGAGTTCATTCAGGCTAAACATGTTCCAGGGCAGTTGTCAGCCTCAACCGCTGCATTACTTTAAATTCAATCAATGTGCAACCATATTGTATCATGTATAAATGTTTTTGGGTCAGATCTACCGTGGTTGACGTATGCAGTTGTATTTGGGTGTTTGACTTTTGAGAATAGCCTGATATCGGGTATTATCTTTGAAACGCGAAACGTGGGCCACATGGTTCTAGCTTATGCCAAGTTTCAGGTTAAGGGTGCTGCCGTTTGCCGATGATGGTTACAAAATACGACTGTTGCCTCGTTTCAACTGAAATTAATTGTGGAACGTGAGGTTGAAAGAGTGGATTTGAGCCGGAATAGTTGCCGTGGATTTATTGCTAGAGACGATATTCTCCCTGATGTTGATTGACGATATCAAGAGCAGCGACTTCGCTATGCCAAGATTCAATACATCTTATCTTATATGCCATCTATATGTTCATTGCTCGGTAAAAATACCATTTGTAGACCTGAAACTTGGAACATGACGAGGCTGAGCGGAAAGCATGAATATTCGCTTGGCATCTAGATCTGATCGGCCCACCATCAGCTCAACGCATTAAAATCAGCATCTCCCGGAAACACCAAAACAATCATCCAATGGACGGAAAAATTGAGCCTCGTTCCTCGTTCATTAAACGTCAAATCATTATCCGATCGGCAAAACGGGCCGGCCCCACAAGTTGTTTCAGACCAAGCAACACCACATGTTTATTCGAAACAATAGTACGAAGTGATATAACAAGGGTCTTTTTTTCTATATCTATACCAACAACTTCGCAACAATGGTAGAGAGAATCATCCTCCAACTCAACACTCGTTTTCTATTCTAAGACACTCTTTTTTCTCTTCAGATCATTCATCATGGTTCACTTCACTTCCGTCTTCGCTGGGCTGTCGCTCGTAGCTGGTTCTCTTGCCGCGCCCTCCAAAGAAGGTCTCTTCTCCAAGATTACCAAGCGGGCTGGTACTCCCAACAGTTCCGGTACCAACAACGGATTCTACTACTCCTGGGTATGTACAGCCAACATTATTCTCGGACCATGACTGACTCTATACAGTGGAGTGATGGCGGTGCCGATGCTACTTACACCAACGGTGAGGGAGGTTCTTACTCCATGGAGTGGAAGGACGGTGGTAACGTCGTCGGTGGTAAGGGTTGGTCTCCTGGAAAGGCTCGGTAAGTCTGCTATAACCTTGTACATGGCTCTTGCTAATACCTGGTAGAACCATCTCCTATGAGGGAGAGTACAAGCCCAATGGCAACAGCTACCTCTCCGTCTACGGCTGGACCCGAAACCCTCTTGTCGAGTACTACATCGTCGAGTCCTTCGGTACTTACAACCCCTCCAGCGGTGCTACCAAGAAGGGTACAGTTGAGGCTGATGGCAGCACCTACGACATCTTCGAGACTACTCGCACCAACGCCCCTTCAATCGACGGTACTCAGACCTTCCAGCAGTACTGGTCTGTTCGCCAGCAGCATCGCTCTACTGGTAGCGTTGACACTGGTCTTCACTTCGATGCCTGGGAGAAGGCTGGTATGAAGCTCGGTACCCACGACTACCAGATCCTCGCTACTGAGGGTTACTTCAGCAGCGGATCTTCTCACATGACCGTTTCTGAGGGTGCTTCTTCCGGTGGATCTACTGGCGGTGACGCTTCCCAAGGCGGTGATGCTTCCCAGGGCGGTGACGCTTCCCAAGGAGGCGATGCCTCTCAGGGCGCAAACGGTCAGCAAGGTGGCAACGGAAACTCTTTCCAGCAGCCTGGCAGTGAGAACCAACCCCAGCAACAAGAGATTGACACTGGCGCTAACGAGCCCTGCCAATAAGTCTAAGCACAAACCTTCCGAGCAGAGCCTGGTGCCGTTGTAAGTGCTCTCCGTGTCACAGCCCAGCTGACTCATGGATACTAACCTCAGCAGTGCGCTTCCATTTACGGACAATGTGGTGGCCGGAGCTGGACAGAAGCTACCCGATGTCATCGGAGTTGCAAAGGGTGCCAGTGGTACCTCCAGAGCTTCAACGACAGGATCGCCGGTGATTTGGAGTTAGAGTTGGAGAGACTATATTCTTTCATACCCATTAATCCTCGCTCTTTAGTTGGGAAATAGTGGCTTGTATATACTTGTTGTGTAAAACTTGTTGACAATCTATCACTGAAACTCGTAGAGTTAAGGATTCAAGTGCTCTTATTCTTTCTTAGTTGTTACATATCGATTATCTCGTGGTATAAAATTTACCTTTGTTGTGAGTTGAATCTCTGATTCGCGGTGAGGCGAGTCTCAAAGTTGATGGACGCCACATAGAGCTTAGGAGACCTGTAGGATTTAATGACGTTCACCCTTCAAAGTTCAGTGGAAATTTGAGTATTACAGTTTGCAGTGAACAAACCTTACACTGCAGTGCCCGAGTAAGAGATAAATGGCAACCTGACCCGCCATGCTTTGGTGTAAGTATTCCAAGGCTGACATGAAAAGCACGCGTGGACTCCTGTGAAATTTCTATTTATTCTCTTCCGACTCCAATTTCAATTCATTTTATTTCATAGATATTTTCTCGAGTAGCCCGAGAAACAACCACCACCATGACCCGCTCAATGCCTATCAGGCAATCGCAACATCAACCAGCCCATCTTCTTCCACTGGAAGAAATCGATGAAAGAATTCAACACGCGAAGACTATCCAGTCTAGGTGTCCGGGAAATAATAGGGACACTTTTGGTGGTGACCACACCTAAGAATTCCTGATTATTTTCCGGACCCGAGGCCAGTCAATGATCCGAGATTGCTGCCGGGCAGAATCAAAAGACTTCTGCCTCCGTGCCGAACATGCCGCCGCAATAATGACCATCCCGCTGTCGCTTTTCGGACCAAACGATTTAATGCCAGAAAGAAGACTCGATTTTGAGATGCAGAGATGTATTGACGCTATCTCACCGTCGTGCAAGTATTGTAAGTCCGCTACTCTGAGCAGTATACACGGTCAGCTAAACCCATCAAAGATCTTCGACATTTATGCAAACGACACCGTGAGACTTTCGTTTCTGGTCAACTTGGCCAGCCGTCTATCCCATGCCCAAGCACTGTATCCCACGGTAGCTCCAGTATGGATATCGATGAGACGATCTCTTTTGAAGTCAAGTCGGAAGCCAGCCTTCAACTACAAATAATTGAGCCGCCAAGCTCGGCAGGAAGCGAGTCCAAGTATACCGACAAACTTCAAGCCGTCGAGTTATCCAGAATCGATAAACACAACATAGACGTCACGGAACAAACCAAATGTTTGGCGCGTGATGGTAATATCTGTGTGGTCACGAGTGCAAAATACCCGAATGCAAACCATATCGCACCATTTACTTGGAATGATACCCAGGAACACATCAACAGAACATTCTGCTTAGGGCCTCATCGAACCTTTTTAGTCGGGAATATTTGCCAATCGCACTCGCTACCTAAATAACCGAGATAAGCCAGGGGAATCTGATAAGGCATGGAATATGATCTCTCTTCACCCCCAAGTTTACAGTTGGTGGTCCAAAGGATACATTGCATTTAAATGCCTTGAAGTGCAATCTCTAGGAAACGGGGAGCCTAATGTGGTTTTGGAGTTCCGGGGGATGCCTCAAACCAAATACTGGTTTGGCCAACAGATTGGTATCTTCAACACCCGCACAGGACATGATCTAAAAGAGTGGTTTGATGAGATCGATCAGTTCCATACATCTGGAGATCCGCCACCAAAGGCCCGCGATGGGATGAGAATTCGGGCCACTATAAGTGATGGAGCACCTCTCTGTTCAGGAAAGCTCATCATTATACGAATGCAAACTGGGGAGGCCTCTCGCTTCAAGGACATGATTGACATGCAATGGGGTTCTATACTAGTTGCAGCCTTAAGCGGTGCTGCCGGAACTTCACAGCTGCTTTCTGATTCGAATTCCGATGACAAAGTGATGCAGTGGATCCAGAACCAGGCAAAATTCGCTGAAGAACATGAGTTAGTCTCTTGAGTGATAGCCTCTTCATTCTAAAGCTGTATCGCATCTAGGGGAAAAAATCACTTGTTAGTGCTCGGTTACACATATCGGATCATCTTCCTACGACAACAACTTAGTGTCGAGGGGATCTACGTTGACATACAGTTATGGCACTCGGATTTTTCGCCAGCACGCGTGGACTTCAACAGTTTTAGAATGATAAAATGAAGCGGAGAAAGGCATTCGACGATTCATTGAATCGCCCAAGGCTTACGTCATAAATGAGCGTTGTTGAACTCATTTCGACTTTTCGAGTGAAGTTTAGAAGGAGCAGCAGAGAGGTATGGATATAACTGAGAAGTCTCAAGCTTGTGTTACATTGCGGAGAGCTTACCTAGAGAAGAGTGCCTCGGCACTGGCAACACCTGTCAGTCCAAAGACCTCCTGATCTTGTTGCTGGTGCTGATTTGGTAGTACCATCACTATCTGACTTTGGATGTTTGCTCTCAATCGCCTCTCCTGGGCCATCCACGATCCGTCTTTCAATGACTTAGCCATTCAATTAGCCAAAGCAGTCCATCCGAAGTTCGGCTTCCAATCTTCAAGTGGACCCAAGGTGGTCTAGAAGATCTCCATAAATATGGACAAGGTCCTCGTTCCCGCTGAAGGGCACCTCGACGCTGTGACTGGATTTGTGGTCTTCAGAATGCTTCTCGAGACAGCAGTACAACAGGGCCGAAAGGACCAACTTCTGAAACAAGGAATCAGTGACTATGAGAAGGTCATGCATCAGAAAGGCTCAATGTACCCTGGTGGTGAACCATTAGATCTTGGCGTGGGCTTAAGGATCTGTCACTTCTACACTCACGAGAAGTGGCCGCAGGCATTTACTCGGCAAGCCATATATCTAGTCGACAACCTCTTTGATGGAAAATCCGCGGATATTGGAGGAAGCATTTCCAAGAGTCTGGCTTTTAAAGAGTCTGAAGCCTGTTTGGTGGCCCAGTGCGTCCAACCTGATGAGCCATTGAAAGAACAGGTCAGTATACTCATCGAGTTTTGGGACGGGCATATCCATCGGCATGATCAAGATGGCTTGAGACCAATTTCACAGATCATTTATGCGGCGGCTATGCTTCCTGAAGGCAAGCTTATCTAGAGTGATATGGGAAAGCTTGTTAACTTAGTCTTGCGTTTCGGAGAGGCTTCATTGCCGGTAACGAGCCATGACAACACAGGTGGCTAGCGCAACAGACTACAGGGCGGGGCACGTTGCTAGATATTTGAGGTTGGTCATACTGCTTCCGGGGCTGTCAGAGGTTATTTGTTATTTGTTGGTAAGGCCTGTTGAGTGGCTTGTCGGGGTGTTTTGATCTCGAACACCTATCGGATGCGATGATCAAGGGACCATTTAGCTCAATCCGCTCACAGTTTAGCATAATTATTTCTTGGGGGTCTTCTTCTTGGAAAGTCCTGTATATTAGGCTTTACCACTATCTACTTATTTGTCTGGTCTCAGGACCAATCCACCTGTGCTTCGTACTCTTCTTCTCACAAATCACCAATCCCTTTCGTCCGTACTGCACAATACCCAGTTCGTCAGTCAATCGCAAACAGTGAAGCGAGACAATACCCTTTTCTTTTTCGGTTTTATTCTTTTCCTCTTTTTTTTTAGTTGCTTGAGCTTTTTTTCGTCCATGTGATCCTCCAAGAGCGACGGTTGACTTTGCAAACGACCCGCACAGTCAAGTCATGACTAGTAGTCTTGCACGGCATCTACTGGTTGTGGTTGTCGTTGCAGGACTCACAGAGGTTCCCCCCGGAGAATGTAACAACATTGTTGCAACCGCAGTGGCAGCTGCACTTGGGGTTGGCCATGTCGACAGGAGTGTTGATGGTGGTCGGGGCCTTGGCATCAACGGGAGCGACCTTGCAAAGGTTGGAGAAAGGCATGATGAAAGATATGGAAGATTGCTGGGTGGAAGGCTTTTGTGTGATGGGTGGGTGTTGGTTGTTAGATTTGATGCTGTGAAGTTGAGATGTTGTGATGGTTGTTGGTTGAGAGATGAGAAGAAGGTTGAGATTGATCGAGGTCAGTCTTCAATTTATAGGCAAATTTGGAGCCTTCAGAGCAGACAACTCTTTCTGTGTTCTGCTACTGTCAGTTTGAATATACCACGGGCTTCCTGAGTGAACATCGGGCGCAGAGGTTGTTCTGGCACTGGGAGTGTTCGCCAGGTGTTCAAGGCGTTACACCTACGTCAACGTTCCAGGACACTCTCTCCGGTTATAGTAATGAACAAAAGAAAGGCCAGACCACGGTCCCATACAAGGACCCTAATTCATGCTCGTTCAAAGAAGAAGCATTGACAAAGGCATCGTAAAAGGCAAGGTCTATTGAACAATATCCCCATCAGCGAAATGACACATCAACAATCCAGCTACCTGTTTCATGGTCTACTCAATAGGCCCACGCCGTTCCTTCTCATTAAACTTAACACTGGCATCACTTTCGACCAATCTCGTTGAGATGAATGAAAGAGACACCCCCGCCAGTTGGCTATTATGCAGTCAACGTCAAAGCCACGCCCGGATGTGCATTGTTGGAAGACTTTGCAACTGAAGAACGACAAAGCTTGATGCTTAAAAGCCTAGAGCACTATTTACTGCGCCCAGATAGGACACTTCAAAGTGACCAGCGCTGAGTTTTCATCGTGAAGGTCGTTGAGAGAAGGTAGTCAGCCATCTCGATAAATTGCTTGACGCAAAGTAGATAGATGGGCTCCTACCGCGGCAGAATAGCACAGATAAACACAAAAAGCTCGAGGCGTATGGAAATAAAATCCAGGATGATTTACATGAATGTCCAAGTGTGTTCAGGTGACAACCTCCACTCCTTCTCTATCCACTCTATTGCAAAACGTAAGGTATGGGGCTTGACAACGTCAGATCTCGGATCGGGGTGCCAAAGATAGTTACTGAACTCAAGGTTCTCTAAAGCTATACTAACATTACCTCAGTCTTCTCATCCCTTATGGCTGAGATCGTAAGTTCCCTTGCCTCCCCTGGCCTTACTACACGGATCAGACTACAGCATGGCACGTTATTCACTCGCATCATCTAATCATCGAGGTGTAGCACACTTACTTCAAACTTGGTACTTCAAAAAGCATATGTATCCAGAGTGAAGATATGCCTAGGCACTCTTGTTCTTCTTTTGTTAGTTACTGATTTCTTCAGTTAATGTAGGATGTTGACGGAAATCCCCCACTGGTCGTCTAAACAAGATCCCCCCCAGTTGTACTGCCTAAAGCCCTGTCTCCTTTCAAACTAGAAACAGCTGTTATACTAATCTTCTATTAGCGTCCATGGATTATATAAATTTGTCTCTCTACTTGTTGGGTTCCTCTGTGCGAAGTGGTATCCAGTGACCTTGCCACTGAGGTCTTGAACACACGACGATGAGATTTACAGGTGAATACCAATGCCGAACACTTAATTCCGATTACTCAATTACCCAAAAGGCAAGAACAAGACGCTCTATGTAGTAAATTAAGTTATCGAAAGTAGAGAGGACGAAGCGGGCGGCTGCCAGTGTCAAGATGCTCGTCCTCCTCTGGCCGATGAACCTGCAACCAATAAGAATTAAGCATCCCTATATACCAGCAAAAGTTATATAAGCTGCAGTAACTAATTGGTCTTTCACAAAGGGATCCAGGGCTGAGAATGGTCTCATAGCGAGCGAGGCGGGTTTCGAAAACTGAGCAATACTCTGGTATGCCCAACCGTGAGGCTCCTCTTCGATTCCTTGTTTGGTTTCCCTCTACGAGACCGGCCTCTCTTTTTGTAATTTTTGCTTTTTGTGCAGTGTATTCCCCATTGGTATGGGAAACATGGTAGCCCGTTCTGGGTGTATCTTTCACCTACCTGAATAGTTTCTAGACCACCTGTAGACTAATATTTTTATTAAAGGTGCCTATTAATACGAGGTCAATCTGCCGGAAGAGGTAGAGTATTACATTGTAGCCTTGCTGCAGTTTGATCTAGAACTTCTGATCAAAGTTCATCGTTAGCTCTCCACTTGTGGTGCTCTTGACCAAGTGCCGGAATAAGAAGGAGATGTCATGGTATTACAGACAATAGAAGTTCACTACATAGAGCTCTGCGTAGCACAAGAAGAGTATTAAATCTGAGTTATTGAAGTTGTAATGAGATCCTCTGCTACAACTCACCTTATTGTTCTGCAGCTGCCTTAGCTATATCGCAGCATGGGTTGTTGACTACATACGCAACCAAGAGACCAACTCTACATTGTAAGAGCTTGTCATAGCTATCCTAAACTTAGAAAATCCTAGCCTAAAGTGGACTATAGGATAGCCTAAAACTTTATCTGATGCTCAGATACGCTCCATTACTACTAAGCTTGTGCAACTATCCATGTAACACAAGTACTGAAATGGTGAATGCAAAAGCAACCGGGCACTCAGCCACGACGCATGATGAACCACTTCCTGAGCTCTGGAACCAGAAGCTATTGAACTTTCATTCAAATGAAACAGTCTATGAGTGTGTCTCACTGACTCTAGGTGTAGACCGTGACCTGTGTTCAACAGCTGCTAAATCTCCCAAATCGCCAACTGTACTCCGTACCTCAGCGATACTTGGGTACAATACAGTCGAATCATGCCTCTCCGTTTTCGTTGTGAGTAACTGTCAGTGTTTCGGGCGCATGCGCATGTGCTGAGGCTTCACGTCCTATTTCTTCAACGTCTCTTTCTGTTGGTTGGTCGTTTTCGGCCACAAGACCCCAATGGCTCGAATGTGTAACACGTAGTCAGCCATGTGCACATCTCTCAATTACGTCGCGACGTCTCAGGGAGACCAAGATATTTAAGCAAATGTATTCTGTAACTAGTAATATTGGTATCCATCAGCAGGCACAGCCTGTAAGAGATGATCCGTCTAGAGAGGGTATTTCATCCAGGTTTGGTATCTAAGGGGGAATTTTAAACATGAACCACATTCGTAAGACTGCCACAAAGAAAATTAACATCCAAAAACAACCGTCATTAAACAGGCAAACCCTTCCATAAACAAAGAAAAGCACAGGCCGTTATTCCGTCGCATCCTCTTGCTTCCAATCTCCTGTAAAGTATGGTATCTTCAAAAGAAACGCAATAAACCTCCTCTTCACTTCGCTAGTATCTCGCTTGGCACCATTGACGTGATTGGTGTGACGATAGTTCGATCTTGTTTAGTCGGTGAAGAACTTGATGACGTTCTGTAGATCGCGCAGGCCGACACCGTGCTTGGGGTAGCAGATGTAGATTTCCTCGCCGAGGGCACCGAACTTGGATCGGAATGATGCCTTGCGACGGAGGCCGAGACTGTCGACGATGGATCGGTAGCTGGCACTGAGGAACTTGGCACGAATACCGCCAACGTGCTCGCCAGGGGTAAGCTTCTCGGAAACACCAGCGCCAAAGGTAACCTTTCCGCTGACGTTTTGAAGAGCAAAGCTCACAAGCACCTCGATGGCGCCGTTAACGGCACCAGGGAAGTCCAGAGCCCACTTGACCTGCCAGCCGTGGCGAGGAGCAAGCTTGGCCAAAACGACCATGGAGATGACCTTGCCATCCTTCTCGGCAGCAAAGTATCGGCGGTGCTCCTGGTCGATCCAGGGGCGGACCTCAGTAAGGTGGACCTGTTTGCCCTTGCGAGTGCCCTTCCATGCTTCGATGGCGGGGTTAGCACGAGAGATGAAGTCTTCGTCGGGCTTAACCTCATGGATCTTGACACCCTCACGTTCAACGCGGCGAGCCTTGGCAGCAAGGCCATCGATCTGGGCGCTGTTATGCTTATCAGCGTCGACACGCTGCTCCTCGGTGCAAGACAAGCTTCGCCAGCGAAGTTCAGAGGCAAGAATCTTCTGGACCTCATAAGAAACCAGCATCCAGAAAGGTGTCAATCGGAGGTCCACAGTAATGTAGTGGATAAAGTCGCGGATGACTTGAGTGTACTGGCTGCGGTCGCAGAGAGGATCACCAGTGATCATAGCAAACTTCTCGCGTTGGACCCATCCAACAGCGGCACCCGTGGAGTGTCGCCAAATCTGGAAACGATCATCGAGCCAGGAGGTGTTGGTAGCATCACCGTAGTTGGCAATGAGTTTCTCGATGGGAGGAGGAGAGTCGGCGTGGTGAGGCTTGGTAGTATCAGCCTCAGGGTGAGGCAAACCAGGTGCCTTAGTAGGAAGAGATTTGGGATCACGGTGAAATAGAGATGCATATCGAACATCACCAAGCTCAAGCATCCAAGCCACGATTCGCTCAAGACCAAGACCAGCACCAGCATGGGGCGGAGCACCTAGCTCAAAGGCAGTAAGGTAATCCTCCATACCATCCTCGGCCATGCCAGCGGCAGCCATGTTGGCGCGCAGCTCATCGACGTTGTGGATACGTTGACCACCGGAGCAAATCTCCTGGCCTCGAATGAAGATATCGAAAGACCGAGTCCACTTGGGATCTTCGGGGTCCTTGGCAGTGTAGAAGGGGCGAGCGTTGGCAGGGAACTTGTCGAGGACGTAGTAGTCTGTACCGTACTTCTCGCGCACAAGCTGGCCAAGTCTCATCTCGTCGGGAGTCGACAGATCCTCCTCCTCGACGTCACGTCCGTCATCACGGAGCATCTGGATACCTTCGCTGAAGGGGATGATGGGGGTTTCCTCTAGCCACTTGAACTCACCACTAGGCCATCTCTTGCGAATGACCTCGAGCTCTCGTGAGGCATAAACGGTCCTGAAGACTTCCTTGAGGAATATGTCGATGAATTGGATGACCTCATGATAGTCGGTGTCAATGGCCATCTCAAGATCGAGGCCAGTGTATTCCGTCAAGTGACGGTGAGTATTGGAGTTCTCGGCACGGAAGACAGGGCCAATCTCGAAAACGCGACCGAAGTCGGCAGAGATAGCCTCTTGCTTGGCGAGCTGAGGACTCTGGGCGAGGAAAGCACGACGACCGAAGTAGTTTACGGCGAAGACAGCAGCACCACTTTCAGTGGCGGCAGGCTGAAGCTTAGGGGTATTGATCTCAACAAAGCCTTGCTCTTCGAGGGTGTTTCGGAAGATGCGGGAGACCATTGAGCGCACACGGAAAAGCGCCTGGTTGGAAGGGTGTCGGAGATCGAGAATTCGGGCGTTCATGCGGTTGCGCAGGGTCTCCGGGGGCTTGTAGTTGCTAAAGGGGAGGTTCTGAGCGGGGTTGACGAGGTGAACAGACCCGACGTCGACCTCAACATTGGAGTGTGTAGCCGATCGAATCGGCTCGGGAGGGCTCTTGAGGATACCAGTGATCTGGACAAGAGATTCGGGGTTGATCTTTCGTACCCATGTGATAAAGTCGGCATTACTGGCATCACGGGCGAGAACACCCTGAACGGAATGTGTCTGGTCGCGGAGGAGGAGGAAGTCGAGAACCTTTGAAATAGGTCGCTGAGTCTCGATACGGGCTCGGAAAGTGACTTCGGTGCCAATGGGCAAAGTATCGAGCTGTGCAATAGTGTTGATTTCGCCAGGGTGAACAGGCCAGTCAGAGCTCATGCTTGTTCGACCGCTGTCGAGAGAAGTGCGGCTGCTGGGAACAACAGCGCCGTTGGTAGTGGTGGTTGTGCCATCCATACTAGATCGAGCAGAATTGCGCAGTTCAACGGCGCTATCGCGCATGGTTTCGCGAATAGTTCTAGAGGGAGACGCGGAACGAGGCGATGAGAAAGCCGAACTCAAAATAGCAGCGGATGGTCTTGTGTCAATGCTAAGCACTGCTGAAGCAGGCCGGCTGGTCTCCGGGCTCGCCATATCGAGCGACGTCGCTGATGATGTCAGACTTTTGGCTTTGGCTTGTGAGAGGACCGAGTCTATTGAGACGGCAGATAGTGGGGGCGATGAGGGGACCTGCACCGGGGCTGGAGTGAAGGAAGTGATTAAACGTGAAGGAGTTTTAGGTGAAGAGATAGAAGGGGAAGAAAAGGTAGAAGTAGTAGGCGAAGGGGGAGTTGAGGAAGAATTTGTGGTGGCCGAGGATCCTTTTAGACGATTCTTTGAAGGTAGTGGCATGCCAAATGCTGATGTGACGGGAGCAAGGATGCCCGTCATAGTTAGGTAGCGTCGCGTAGCGCAGGGCCGCGGACGGAACCAGGGCACGGAGGACAGGGATCAGAGGATCGGGGATTTGGGGGTGATTTGATTCTGATTGTGATGACGGGCCCTTAGCCGGGAATGTCTGCTTCTGTCTCAGAATGAAATGGATGGTTGGTTGGCTGGACTGCTCTCAATTGAGATGGAGGGTGTGGCACGGTGGGTCAGCCACACTTGAAAAATCCTTGATATCCTGACTTGGCTTGCTAGGGACTGTTTCCGCAATACTTGCTTGAGTCGATGACGATCGAGTGGGCTGCTTTTGGTTATTCAGATTCCTTTTTGGCTGTTACTCAGGGCCGAATCTTTGATTTAATCGTGGCTGTGACGAGGGGAGCGTTGAATAGGTAGTGTATCAAGGTACACGTGGCTGAAGTCGATATCAGGGTAGACCGCCGGTAGAGTCCACGCTTGGTTAATATCTAATTTGTGTACTGGTTGGTGTGAATGAGAATAGAGACACTAAATAGGAAATGTCGAGATGTTTATATCAGTTATAGCCAACGACATGAACTCCGCATCCACGGCACTTTCGGCCTCACGGAAACAAGACTTGCTTACAATGCCGTGTGAAGAAAAGTAAAAAACTTCATTGCCAAATTCCTATCGCTTACTCTAGCAACCACCATTTCGGGCTCGGCCCAGTGCATAAACCCGCGGCGTGGAGGTTGAGGATGACAGATGACTCGGCATTGCCATGTAACTCGTTCCGCGCGAGAGGGTACCGAGAAATTTACGGGTAGATCCAATTGCAATTACAGGTCAGTCAGCACCGGTTTTAGCTTCGGGTCTAGCACTAGCACCCTACTGTAGCAGCTAACAGCCCTAGGATATGGGGCCCTTAGGGAGTAAGAAAACACGAGACCTAAGTTTAGGGTGACAGAATAAACTCCACAAAAGGTGTCCTAAACTCATCCTAAATTTATACTAAGTTACCTAAATCCTTTTATCAGTTAGGCTTCAAGGTTCCGAGTTTTATTTCCTCCCCTGGGGGGCATCGCTGATTCAAGCATGGCACGCCATGAATAACGGGCCCGGTAGTGGCATGTGGATGTAAGAGCCTCCAAGGGCGCAAAGCCCGAGTAATTGATTCCGTCATGATTTTTCAATGCATGTCTCTCAGAAATTTCTTTCAGAATGTCTAAAAAACTGGCACAGACTTTTACTGAAGGGTTAATGTGTCAAGTCGATCAATTGCACTCAGCCACGAAGACAGCACCAGTGGACGTCAAACAAGACGCCACAGACACACAAACAAAGCCAAGGCCTTATTGCCGTCAGACGTTCAGGTCCCAAGCTTGGCCTCACCCATAAGCGCCCAAACAAGCAAGGGATGGCTGCCGTTTGCCGTCTGGGCATGCCCCTACGTACCGCCAGAAGTACCAGATACGTCAACGTGTGATACAAATTTAGGACAAGGTGTTGATTCCGTGACATCAGAAGGATCGCTCTAAATTTTCACAGCGCCAGGGCTCGTAGACTCTCCCACCCCCGGATGCGCGGGGCCGCACGGAGCTGGTGATTGGAGGTCGGTGGAGATGCTCCGGAATTGGCTTGATAATGCAGCCAAGACCAATGACATATCCTGAACTCATCGGCGATTGACGACTATCAAACCGTTGATTTTCATGTTTCAGTGCCCTTGTGTCCGTTTTATAACCTGTATTTCTGAATATTATTTCATCCAAGACTCTGTAATGGTTACAACCTACCTACCTGTCGATGGTGAGTAGGGTAAAATCAGGGGCTGATGACCAGGTTTGTTTACGAGAGATTGTCGGTGACTGACTTGACGTCAATCCAGATAAAATGAGAGGCCAAACGGAATTTGTGGCTGATTATGCTGTGCAGTACCTTAGCTAGCCTAATCAAGAGAACATTCTCGTATCTACGGGCTCCTTCGTGGTTAATAATTCTAGACTCTCGTCTCTTCTCTTTTCCTTCTAAAAACAGACCCCGCTTGGGCGTTCCGCTCCCGCATTGACCACTAAATTGACCCAGCTAAGCGGGAGACAATACGTCATAAGCATCGACTCTCCAACCTCACGTCACCTAGCAACTTTGGTTGGTTCTGACCAGGTTTTACAGCTTTGTCTTGTCTTGCCTGTCGTGTGTTGCTTGCTTATCGCTTAATTTACATTCACATAATCAATCTCTCAAAATCACCTCAGTCAACGGGTGATTTGATTACCACTGTTTGATAACCTGCTTTTCCACTTTCGTAGGCGAGACACGTACTACTAATGACGGTCAACAACTTCAAACTGCTTACCCCCCATCAAACCACAAACCTACCTTAAACGCCATCAAACCTCACGCACACACGCACATCAGCAAACTATCATTCTGTTTTCTCCTTCTGATCAGCAATTCTGAGCCAATCCTTGCCCTTACTACTTCTCCTACCGCGCTTACAGAAATACCTCCCGTGCTGTACCATTATCGTACTGTACTGCATACTGAGTCAACCACGTGTTGCACACAAATCTCCCCACCGCTTCTCCGTGACAGCCGGGTCTCGTCTTGGCTTGACTTGGGTTTGGGCTTGGGCTTGGATTGTGCTTCCTCATTTTGCAGCCTCTCTTGTCTCTGCCGTCTTTTCCTGACAACCCTTCTCGACCCTAGCCCGCTGCAATCTGCAGTCTCACCCAAAAGCCATACTCTCATAGGCTGGTGTTGGTGTTTGCTGGCTGGGACCCCTCCCCTCTCCCCTCTTCGCATCTGATATGGAAACTGAATTCACCCCCTCTGAGTCACGGCCAACCACTCCGGAACCTCCGGGCTATGTGAATCCTCTCGAGTCCAGCTCTAGATGGTACCTGATCGCTCGTGCCCAAGCTATTCGTTCTGCTGCCAGTCTGGGCTTCAGTATCGCTAATCGAACGGATCCTCCTGCACCCTCACCAACCAAGGACATCTGGCTCGATGCTACCCTGTCCAAGGCTGATCTTAGCCGCGCCGACCGCGCCAAGACAAAGATCAAGGCCGAAGTATGGATGCCGCCCCGTCCCGCGCTCGGCGCCCGGGCTGCCGTTATAAACTTCCACGGAGGCGGATGGATTCTCGGTCAAGGCACCGACGATGCCCGTTGGGCCGGTGCTATCATGGCTAATCTCGACGCGGTTGTCTTCACTGTCAACTATCGTCTCGCCCCATCTTGTCCCTTCCCAACACCAATCGAGGATTGTGTGGATGCAGTTCTTCAAATCAAGCATCGTGCGGCGGAATTCGGCATAGACCCTGATCGTATCATTCTGTCGGGGTTTTCCGCTGGGGCCACAAATGCCCTGGCAAGTTGGCTCATTCTCAACGACCCAGATCAATGGGGTTACAAGTTCCCTATAGAGCCTCCAAAGATTGCCGGCATCACTCTCTACTATCCGCTTCTGGACTGGACCATCTCGCGTCCGGAAAAGCGGCTTACATGTTCAAAGCCGGAGTTTACCTTACCCAAGGGTCTAACAGATCTTATCGACGCTTCCTTCATCTACCCAATCATTCCTCGTGAGGAACGTTGCGACCCAAGACTATCCCCGGGTTTGATGCCTGATGAGTTGCTAAAGAAGCTTCCTCCTATTCACTTGGTCTTGTGCGAGTATGACATGCTCCTGGCTGAGGGTCTCAAGTTCTCGAATCGCCTCAAGGCTGCTAACAAGAAGTTCACATTGCGTATAGTCGAAGGAGAGAGACACGCATGGGATTGTCCACCACCTATGTCACCAAAAGAGAGTGTTGCCATTGAGTATCAAGAAGCCGTGGAGACAATGGCCAGTTGGTTTGGGCAGAAGTGCGAGACCGACACTGAATCCATGCGATCAATGAGACTGAAAAGGCCGGTTCTCAAGCGACCAAAGTACCTCTCCTTCAAAACCTGGTCCGGGAGGTAGTTGCCCCTAGCAGGGTTCTTGATTCTCGTGGGTTCGATTTTTGTTTGTTCGCTGTACGTGGTCGTTTCCTTTTTCTTTCAACCTAGCGCGGCGCATGATGCGATTAATGAGACCAGACTTGGCAACATATGAGACACAGGGCATTGGTTGGACATGATCGGTTTTGAGCGAAAGAAAATACATTACATACATATTCAAATATAAATAAGAAAGATTTCCCGACATAATGATCCAGGAACGGGTGGCAGTGCAAAAATAAGCATCAGGGTCTTGGTTCTTGTCAAGATCATGATCCAGCCACTACCAAGCATGTAAGCCAACTCAATCCAAGACAAGCATTCCCAGCCCTGTCAAGAGAGACAACCTTCGGCATTTGCTGCTTTCAGTCGTGTCCACCCCAGGTGTAAATCAAGACTAGGAACTAGGTACTTCGAGCAACGGAAAAGATACTTGGCAATAGCATCTGGTTTAAGGGTCCCATCTCCGGAAGCGTCGGAGGCCCCAACATTGGCCGGGTCGTAAACATGTGGCATTTTCACAAGCCCACGCCAATTGGTTCCTACATACTCCGTATACCTACACATACTTAATCACAATTGTCAAAACATGTATCATGGGATTCTCAGCTTAGACTAGTTTCGCCTTACAAGCATTGTGCGGGGATCCTTGGTCAGCTGCTTATTTCTGCGTTTATATGCACGAATAGTGTGGGACATTTTGTGTTGTCGACTGAGCTTGTGACTGAGTCAAAACAGTGAAGTTTTTTCGTCGGGGTTTTGTCAATATACCGAGTTCTTTCGCGTTTCGGAGGGCCCGAGTATCCCGGGGGAAATATATCGGACTCCGGCATCGCGTTAACCCATGACGGAACTGTCAGGCGAGCATTTCACGTTCAAATAGATCACAAAATCACGATATGTTTGGATTTTCAATCAGAATGCCAAGATTGAGATAGTTGTCATCAACTAACTACTCAACTAAGTAGCTAGGATAAGCAGCATCCACCGCTATCTCACTCAGCGCCATCATCATACCCAGTAAGCTTCAAATCCTTAAAGGCCTGTCGCCACA